TTTGGAGGGCAGTCATGATAGGTCCATGTTTGTAAGCACACCACAGCATCAGCAACAGTGTCAGGTCTTTGGGCCTCCCCTTGAGCTGGATCCCAATTTGGGGCTGTCTCTGGACCTCCTTTTCCTCAGGCTTTTTTGATCCCGCAGTTCTTTCTTACTTTTTTTTTTTTTAAGAATTATTTATGTATATGAGTACACTATAGCTGTCTTCAGACACACCCAAAGAGGGCATCAGATCCCATTACAGATGGTTGTGAGCCACCATATGGTTGCTGGGAATTGAACTCAGGACTTATAGAAGAACAGTCAATGCTCTTAATTGGCTGAGCCAACTCTCCAGTCTCCTGCAGTTCTTTCAAGCAGGAACAATTCTAGGTCAGAGATTTTACTGTGGTATGGCAACTCCATCCCTCCACTTGATGTCCTGCCTTTCTACTGGTGGTGGACTCTACAAATTCCCTCTCCCCACTGTAGGGCACTTCATCTTTTGAATCCTGAGAGTCTCTCACTTCCCAGGTCTCTGTACATTCTAGGAGGTCCCCCCACTTCCTACCTTCCGAGGTTGCCAGTTTTGATTCTGGCAGGCCCTCAGGGCTTCAGTCCTCGCCCCCCCCCCATACCTGATCACCTGATCATGTTCCCCTCTTCCTCTCCCTGTTGCCTTTCTTATCCAGGTCCTGCCTCTACCCTCCTTCCCTCTCTCCCTTCCTCCCTCCCTCCCTCCTGTGATTGGTGATTTATAAAATGGGTACCATAATGTACCAGAATGTTATGAGATTCTGTTGTGCATCTATGAAACACATGAACACCAAAAGCATTCATGAACTCCAAAAGACCACCATGGATTCTTTTCTGATGCAATCGCATTAGGGTCTCTTTATAACAAGCTTGGGCTTGGGCTCTCTTCTAACCCAGCCCTGACACAGCAGGATGGGAAGGTGGAGCAGCTTCAACCCTTAGCAGGACAAGGTTTTATAGGAAACGGAAGCAAGTGAGGGGGAGTCCAGCCTGGCAAGCATCTAATTATATGACCACTGTAAGCTGACGACAGGTGGGTGCTCTGAAGTAAGACCATGAACAATCACAAATCAATTCAATTTGGGAATTTTAATAGTAGCTATTACTGTATGTTTCTCTTATATCTTTATCTTCATGCCAATCCAGAACACAGTACATGTGAATTGAATATTGGATTGCTGACAAACTCCCTTAAATCTTCATAAGTAATTCACTCATTACACTTGCTGTGGTTTGAATATAAAATGTCTTCCATCGGCTCACGTGCTTGAATACTTGTTACAGTTATGTGGCAGAACCTTCCCCTAATGAATAAAGATTTCAAGGGACCAATCACTGGGCAAGTAGGTGGGACTTCCGGGTCAGGAAGAGGTAGAGGGGAGGTAGGAGAAAGGGACTTCCTTTTTCGACGACGGGAGAAGGGAGGCAGACAGACTGTAGGATTGTGTTACCTGTTGATTCTAAACTAAGATTGTGTGGTGTTTTCCTTCATCAGGCGACTCAACTGGGTTCCAGAGAAAGGTATGGCGGTAGAGTGTGGTGTACAAGAGTACACCGAAGTCTGCTGCAGGAATTTGGAAGCATGGGCCTGGTGTGGCAACAGCCAGCCATGGGAACTTAGCATGGGTGAGACAGGCCCTGTCTGAGAGGAAAGAATGTGGTCTCGGCCTGTCCACTGGGCTGGAGACAGACAGGCCGCCTGCTGGTGCCTAGCTGCGATAGGGTGAGATGCTTTTGTATATTTCATGCAACACAGTTATGGCAGGAATGGAAATATCCTAAAGAGATACTTGTGCCTTTCCTTTTGGCTACCAGACAATTGAGGCAGTGGACCCTTAAAAATTTTCGGTCTTCCCAGGAGTCTCATGCAAGACAACGTAAAGCCCTTGTTTCAGCTAGAGGAAGATCCTGTTTCCTAGAAAGGGATTTCACACAGGTTTATCAACTTGACAGAGCACCCACACTTTTGATTACGCCTGCTTAGTTTTGCATACCCGCTGCCCCCTAATTAGGGCCCTAGAGGTAGACTTGGGAAATGGGGAGAGGTCACTGGATCTCTGTGTTCCTTTTTACATCCTGTCCACATTGAATACAGTTTTTCTCTGTCTCCCATTATTACTTGTCTAACTGGCCTGTTACAGATGAGTGGCTAAGCCTTGCCTGGTAAGAGTTTGGGAGTTGTGGAACTTCCTTTGCTAGAGGAGGTGGGTCACTGGTGACTGGTTGTAGAGCCCATAGTGCACTTGCTCTCTTCGCTTTGACCATAGTTGTCTAGCTACTTTTCCAGGCTGCCTTCATCACCATGATGGACACTATCGCTTCTTGTACTGTAAGCCAAAATAAAACCTCTAAGTTGCTTTTGTTGACTATTTGGTCACAGCAGAAAAGGGCTATGTCATGGTCACTGTTCACTTCTCTCTCTCTCTCTCTCTCTCTCTCTCTTTTAATTTAGTTTCCAGGCAGATTGAGGCAGCTTCTCTTCCCTTCTCTCTTCCAGTTCCCTCCTCCTTCTCTCCAGTGTCTCTGCAGTCACCCCTCCTCTCCTTCTCAGAAGAGGGCTGGACTCTCAGGGATATCAACAAGCTTTGGCACATCAAGTTGCAGTAAGACTGGGCCCATCATCTTTTATTGAGTCTAGATGAGGCAGCCCAGGTAGGGGAAAGGGATGGAAGGGCAGGCAGTGTAGTTAGGGACAGCCCTTGCTCCTGCTTTAGGAGTCACACATGAAGACCCTGCTGTACAGCTGTTACATATGGTCGCTTACGGCTTTTATTCAGGTCCACACTGAGAAAGAACAGGAAGCAGAACACAAAGATATGAAAAATGTGCCATTTTGTGAGCAAGTTGCAGACAAGATGGCTGCTAAGAAAGCAGCTGTGGTCATTAAAAAGACCTGTGGCACTAGAGAGAAATCTACTCTGCACTGGGACAACAGCAAAGGTGTCCTGTGGGTAAGACCCAACCGTCAAAGGCTCCAACTTACGAATTTGCAAGCTCATCTGAATGGGGAGAGGGTGAACTGAGAATGCCACTCACTGTATAAAACAAGCACCTGTTAAAGTGTTTACTCAGATCAGCCTTAAAAGTACACCATGGCCCCAGCAACTCTGTTCCAAGATGGCCAAGTGGCAGCTTTGTCCAAGTGGCACTGATTATCGGCATGAAAGATGCCACACATAGTCTGACCTCAGCTTTCTGGAACTTGAGCACAGGTCTGCACAAACCCCTTCACTCCTGAAGAGGCCCGAGAGGCTCTTGTATAAAGCTGGGGAGATACTGGAGATGCTACAACTGGGATGTCCACTGAAAAAAGGTGCAGGCATGGATGAGAGCCAGCCCATAACAAAAGGCCACGTGACTTAGAGGCAGGAGAGCTAGGGTTGTGTAAGCTTATGGGAGTTCAAACAATTCCAGATGTATATGGAGCTTTAAGGTTTTGTGTCTGCTGTGGTGAATTTCATTGTTTCTCTGATTTGATCTTCCCTTGCTATCTTCTTCTCTCTGGAACACTATTGTATACCGGAAGTATACAGTTCAATTTTAAATTTTACAGGGGCTCATGTTTAAGAAGTTAACACCACCTCTTTTTTTGGAAACTGTTTCGCTATGTATCCCAGGCTGTCCTGGAACTTTCTTTAAAGGTTCAGAATTACAGATGTGTACCACATAATCATATTTTTTAGTAGTATTTTGTTTCCATAAAAATAGGATTCAATCCTGAGTAATGTAAAGCAATAAGTAAGTAAAAATTTTAAATGCATTTAAAGCCTGAATCTGCCACAAGCCACTTCAGAGTGCTAGTCATTAGTTACTTAAATAAAGGGTATTATGCTCTATTTATTCCTAATAATTTCCATCTGGTCATCTCATCCTTTTTTCCATGCTTCATACCTCCTGTCACCTACTTTGTGAAGTATGTGGCACTTCTGGAAGGTGGACCCTTGCTATTGGAAATGAGTCACTGGTTATTGGTTGTAGAGTCCAGCTCCATGACTAGCCACTTTACCATCCTGCCTTCATCAGCATAATGGACACTATCTCTTACTGTACTGTAAGCCAAAATAAAGGCTTTCACTAACCTTGTCTACTAACTTCGGTGTTACCACTTTATGCTTATTTTCTGCTAAAAAATTACTGTTACTGATAATCCTGTTACCCCAGAAGACTACTTGGCCTGCAGTATGCCCTCAATAGATAGTAAGTTAGCCGGGCAGTGGTGGCGCACACCTTTAATCCCAGCACTTTGGAGGCAGAGGCAGGTGGATTTCTGAGTTCGAGGCCAGCCTGGTCTACAGAGTGAGTTCCAGGACAGCCAGGGCTACACAGAGAAACCCTGTCTCGAAAAACAAAACAAAAAAGATAAGTAAGTTAAAGTGACTTTAATAGCTCAATACTAAGTCACCAGAGCGTCAGTGGCCGGTAGTCCCAGCAACAAGGATAAGGTGGGGTGCAGGAGTTCTAGATTAGCTTGGGCAGCATAGGGAGACCACCTCTCTTTCTCTTTCCCCGTTATATCAGTTCCAATAGAATTCCACATTACTCCTTTACTTCGCATTAAAAATATCCCTGGCGTTCAGGCTTTTCTTTTCAATTCTGCGACTGAACATTTTGAGAACGCACAGACTCTTAGAGTACACCACTCTAGTCCTGAAGTAAAAAAAAAATGTCACCAGCATTAACGCTTTTCTGAAACCTTTGGCCAATGTCTAAGTCTCACTCTGGCTCACTTCGCAGGACCTTTCTTCCTTGTTTTTGCAAAAAACACTCCACACAGAAGGAAACCACCGTCCAGTGAAGCTTCTCCACCGGAGACAGCCAGCGAACCACACAGTTTTCCAGGAGTTAGCGGCGCGGCGGCGTAATCGTCCACTCCTCCCCCAGGACGCGACCTCGTGGCCGCATTCCTCTCTCGCAGCCCTGAGGAATCCCTAAGCCCTCGAGCTCGCCGGAAGCCCCGCCCCGCCCCGTTAGCGGCCTCGCGCATGCTCGGTCTGCGCTGCCGCGTCCCCGCGGGCTCTCGCGCGCCTGCTGCTCGCTTCCTCTCGGCCGCCCCGCCCTTTTCGGTCACTCGGGGCAGCTGCGGCGTGCGCGCGGCGATTGGCTGCCTCAGTCGGGGCGCCACAGGCCTGGGTTGCGACGCGAGCGGAGCGGGCGCTTAAGGATCCCGGGGCTCGTCAGGTAACGGCGTGGACCGGGAGCGGTGGGGACAGGGGAGAGGGCCTCAGGGTGGCCGGCAGCCCGCTGGGGACTTCCGGCCACTGCCCCTGGAGATGCAGGAGCGCTGCGTGGCCCGCGACGCGGCGATCTCAGGTTACACCGCTCCTCCAGGTTTCGGCCTTATGGCGTGTTAGTTTTTCCGAAATTTAAAAAAAAAGAGGCCTAACCTTGACTCTGAAGTGTAGGTTGTTTTTCCCTCCAAGCTTTGAAACCACCTCTCTCTGAGTTAGGGTTTCAGTCCTGGCTGGACCGCAGATCTACTCTGTGCCCTTTGCGGGACGCTTAAGCGATTCATAGTTCTCGCCCTTCAAAGTGCGAGCAGAAACTGCTGCGGAGCTCAGTATGCCCGGCGCCCACTCTAGTAAGATGCAGCTGCAAACTCTGGGCTCACTGCATTCAGAAGTTGGCTTTTCTAACTGGAGGATTACACCACCCAATGGTACTGGTGAAGTACTTCAATTCAAGTTGGGTAAACTACAAGATAGCAGGATAGACTAGGGTAGTGAAACGCCCGATTCTAAGAGAACAGGCCTTTGGAAGGGCTCCTTTGAGCATTTTTATGTCAGTTAATTCCCGGTGGTGGTAGACGGCGAGAGAAAGACAGCTTTAGCCTGTATCACAAGTTACATAGTTGCTTATTGCCATCTGTGATGAACCTCACATAAAAGGACAGTTACATAATTACATAGGCTATCCTGTACTGGTTGGTATTATTAGTATTAGTTTTATCAATGTGCCTCAAACTAGAGTGATTTGAGAGGAGGGTAGCTCAAAGGAGGAATTGCCTCCATCAGATTGGCAACATTTTCTTGATTAATGATTGATGTGGGAGGGCCCAGATCATTGTGGATTTTATCAGCCCTGGGCAGGTTTTACCTCAGTTGTATAATGAAGCAAACCAAGCATTCTGTGGAAAGCCAGTAGTAAGCAGGGTTACTCCCCGTTCTCTGCTTCAGTTCCTGCTTCCAGGTTCCAGCTTTGAGCTCCTTTGGTTGCTTCCCTGAGTGATGGATGCTAACCGTCGACCATGTTTGCTTTTGGTCTTGATATTTGTAAAAGCAAAAGAAACCAAACTAGATTGAGTCCTATGTAAATAGTATCGCTATTTTTTTAAAAGATTTATGTGCGTACACTGTTGTTCACTTTTGACATACCAGAAAAGGTCATCAGATCCCATTACAGATGGTTGTGAGCCACCATGTGGTTGCTGGGAATTGAACTCAGGACTTCTGGAACAGCAGTCAGTGCTTTTAACCGCTGAGCCATCTCTCCAGCCCAAGCAATACATTTAATTGAGGCTAACTTTGTAAAATTGAGATAATATGAATTATTTCATTAGATAAAAAAGTAATGATGGCAAAGCAAATATGAATAGAACATGTACATTATTTTTCTTCGAAGACAATATAAAATAAAAATCTTTATCATAAGTTTAAAAGTTTAATAAACATACAGAAACATGCTTAAGTCATGTGTACAATTTATTGCATTTTCATGAAGTGTAATTATTTTATGTCTTGAAACATTAAATTTAACCATAACTGTATGCCACATTTTTTGGTCTTTTTTTAAATCTCTAGCCTAGCAACATAGATTACTACTTTAAAGTGGTAGCTGATCTGACCTTTCTCTTTAATAGTTGACTCATAGGACAAATTTTCCATAGAACTGCTTTTGGCATTTGTTAAAAGCAAATCTGGTTGTGCTTTTGTTAAAATCGAAAGTGTTATTCTTTTAGATTTTATTATATTTTAATATACATAGGTATGTGGTGTATTATAAATTTAAAGTATTGTATTAGATTTATGTATATACATTGAAATTGCTTTCATTATGATTAATATGTATACATTTTGGAAATAACTAGACTATAACAGGGTTCAGTTTACTGTAGTTTATAATCTTGAATCTTTTTGTTTCTTCTTGAAACATGCCAAAATCTATCTGTCTCTCTTAAGACAGTCTCTCTTAAGTCCTGGCTGTTTGAAAAGTTGCTATGTGGATCAGGCTGACCTTGAACTCAAATTCTCCTGCCTCTGCCTCCCAAGTGCTGGAATTAAATGAGAGCACCACCCCACAGGGCTTCTTTGTATTTTATCTTGAAGGTTTTGCTACTATGGAATGAACCTTGAAAAATAGAAAAAAAATAATAACTTTAAAAAATTGTAAAATAAAATTTATAGACAAAGAAGTATATAAAACATCGACATTTTTCTTATTCATTATTCAAATGAGTAATCACTAAAACTAGCTACTAATCTGAATATAGCTGTTTATAAGACATGTCTGCACAAGTGATACGGATTTGTCAGTGGATGGATTGTTTTATAAGTGCTTTATTAATACTGTTGCTCAAGTCTCTCCTATTAACAGTTTGTATATGTATAAATCTGTGTTTTAGTAGTAACATGTGCTGACAATTTGCTGTATGTTAAAATTTCTTTTGTAATAATGGAGTCTATTTCTCCCTGGATATACACCCACCCAGCCTTCCACACACACACTCAGGTGTACATGTACGTATATATGTATGTATGTGTACGTATCTAATTTTCGAGGTCATGCTATTTATAGCATACACCTTTGTGATTATTTTCCTTCCATAAGCAGACATCCTCTTTTATCAGTGACTCAGTTCATCTTTGGTGATACTTTTTTTTTTAAGCCTTGTCTGCTTCCTTTCCTTTCCTTTCCTTTCCTTTCCTTTCCTTTCTCCTTTCCTTTTTCCTTTCCTTTCCCTTTTCCTTTCCTTTTTCCTTTCCTTTCCTTTTTCCTTTCCTTTCCTTTTCCTTTCCTTTCCTTTTTCCTTTCCTTTCCTTTTTCCTTTCCTTTTTCCTTTCCTTTCCTTTTTCCTTTCCTTTCCTTTTTCCTTTCCTTTCCTTTCCTTTCCCTCTCCCTCTCCCCTCCCCCTCCCCCTCCCCCTCCCCTCCCCTTCCCTTTCCTTTCCTTTCCTAGGTTGTCTGGTTGAGAAGCTGAAAAAAATAGTATATACTGTCTCTGACTTACAATCTTTCACCTTAAGATTTTTTGGCTTTGGGATGGGGAGAAACTGATAGTCAATAGAAGTGGTATCTTGCTTTTGCATTTTTAATCTTTATTTAGGCTGGGGTAGATGAACATGGTAAGGTACTATGATTCATGACACTGGGCAGTGGCTGCGAACTGTAGTTCCTAAGTGGAGTCAGGAGAACCAACAACTAGTGGTCTTTGATACATTGTGTTCAGCTCAGGTATTTGATAGCTTAGGTATATTATATTCATTTTTTGGTATATTTAGTAGGATGTAGTCCATCAGAAGTCAAAGAACATCTTTGTAGAATTCTGTATTCCCTGGATAATACTTTTAATGTTAAAATAATGTTCAATGATTATAATGTACAAATGTAATCTACTTCACTAAATAACTTATATAAACTAAATACATTGACTAAACACTATTGTAATCAGTGAATTATACTTTTTATTAAATTGTAATCTGTCTGGATATAACTAATTCTTTTTCTGTTTTAGTCTTTTTGTATTCTAGGAGCCAATCTGGATGATACCATACTATAGTTTGTTGATGTATTTCTTTCTTTTTTTTTTTTCAAATTTTTTTTTATTTGGACCAGAATTTCTTTGTGTAGCCCTGAGTGTCCAGGAACTGGCTATGAATACCAGATTGGCCTTGAACCTATTGTGATCTTCTTGCCTCTGCCTCCCAAGTGCTGGGAGTAAAGGTGTGTGGCACCATGCCAGACAGTTATCATGCTTCTTGAGTCTTTTCCAGTCTCTACTATTTTTTTTTCTATTTGATACAGTTAGGATACAGGCATCTTTTGGTTCTCTTGTGTAAAATTGGATATATGGTAAGCATTTAAAAATTGTGTGCTGTGTGGATATTTTGCATGCATATCTATGTCTGTAGCATTCAAGCCTGCAAGCAGAGGCCAGAGGAGGAGGGCATTGGGTTCACTGGAACTGGAGACTATTGTGAGGTCAGCATGTGGGTGCTGGGAAGTGTACTGGTCTCCACATAGAGCAGCCCTTTCTCTTGACTGAGCCATCTCCAGCGCCACGATTGGATATTTTGAAATTCAATGGATCAGCTTCATGCTCCCAACTAAATAGTTTAGTCTAGGATGAAGCATCTCACTGTTTACATTTTTGATTGTTTACTCTTTTGTACTCTGGTGGTTTGGAAGTTGCATGTGCTTTAGCATTCTTTTACTGCGTACCGTAAAGATTATAATGTCCTTCATCCCCTCAAGGGCACTGGTATGTGCTAATCTTTTAGTATTGTAAACAGCACTGAGGTTTACATTCTTGTACATACGCATTTCGCCTTTTTTGAGAAGTTAGTCTTAGTTAGGGTTTTACTGCTGTGAACAGACACCATGACCAAGCCAACTCTTTTATGAGGACAACATTTAGTTGGGGCTGGCTTACAGGTTCAGAGGTTCAGTCCATTATCAAGGCAAGAACATGGTAGCACCCAGGCAGGCATGATGCGGGAGAGCTGAAAGTTCTACAACTTCCTCTAAAGGCTGCTAGTGGAATACTGGCTGCCAGGTAGCTAGTACTAGGGTTAGCCCATGCCCACAATGACAAACCTAATCTGACAAGGTCGCATCTCCAGATAGTGCCACTCCCTGGGCCAAGCATATTCAAACCATGTCATGGACTCAAAAAGCATTTAAAAAGCCCTAATTTAAATACACGTTTGGGTGAATTCTTTTTTTCTTTGAAATGTCATAGTTTTTAATAATGAATAAATATTTAGTTTAAAATTTTTAAGGCAAAGTCACACAAAACCGTCATTAAAAACTAGAAGTACTGTATTCTGTCTTTTCCTGAGCTTGTGCTTAAAACAAGAGAAACCTTATCACTGGATGGGCTGTCAATACAAAACAAGAGCATCTTCTTGCTAGCACTATCAGCTGCTGAAATACAATGTTGCAGCCATTTGAAAGTTTTGAAGGACAAGACTTTTCAGTCCCCTCTCCTATAGCAAAGTCGGAAGTCAGTGAGGTGGATGTAGATAGACTAAAGACATTTCTCGATAGAGAAAGCCTCTGAAAATCCTGGAAATTCCAGTCTATTAAAGCAGTAAAAATACATCAGAAATGGCAGAAAGTGTAGTGTGGCCCAGGAAACAACCAAGGCAGCGTTGGCTTACAGCTGTATAGAACAAGCAATTTAGATCAGAGATTCTCCCAAGAAGGATATCTAGGCAATTAAGGTTATTTAAGAGGTTTTATAATTGGTTGGCCCAGATTTTCTTTGTCAGACCTTTTTTTATATTATGAATTTGATTTTATTAATACAGACTCTTCTGGGTGTCTGTCTTGCTAGTTAGGTGGTACTGATTGGTTAGTTTTAAATGTAAACTGAAGTTTTAAAAATATGATAGTCCCCCAGAACCTTTATCTATAATTTTATAAAGCCTGTTATCTGAGATTAATAAAAAATATAGGTGGAAAACTTAAATAATCTGTATGTTAAGATAACCTTTTTAGAGGTTATTTACATACCTTTTAATCCTGGTATTCCAAAGGCAGAGGCAAATGGAGTTCAAGGACAGCCAGTGCTACATAGTGAAACCTTGTTTCAGAAAAACAAATAGCAAAACAAAACAAGAGTATGAGGTCCCAGTACTGTTATATAGCAGAGTACTGCCTGCTCTGGCCTCAATTAGAGAAGACACACCCAACCCCACCCCCCCCCCCCCAGACTTGAGGCCCCAGGGAGTGGGGAGGTCTAGTGGATGGGGTGTGTGGACATCCTCTTGGAGATGGGAGGATAGATTGTGGGGGTAACTACTGGATTGTAAAAGGTTAGAGATAATTAAAAAAACAAAACAAAAAATTGGGCTGGAGAGATGGCTCAGTGGTTAAGAGCACAGACTGTTCTTCCAGAGGTCCTGAGTTCAATTCCCAGCAACCATATTGTGGCTCACAACCATCTATAATGGAATCCGATGCCCTCTTCTGGTGTGTCTGAAGACAGTGACAGTGCATGCATATACATAAAAGAAATAAATAAATTTAAAAACAAAACAAAAAATTTATAATAGCATTACATTATTGTCCCCTACTCTTTTCTCCTTCTAAACCTTCCCATACTCTCATCCCAGCTCTTTCAAACTAATGACCTTATTTTCGTCTCTCTTTCTCTTCTCTCTCTTTCTCAAATAAATAACACAATCTGCTCAGTCTGTGTAATTTTACTTAGGCGTTTCCATTTGGTATTGGCTAGCCAATTGGTATGCTCTTCCCTGGGGAGACTGTTTCTCTCACTCTCGTTCCTTAGTTGCCTGTTGTTGTCTAGTTCCCTCTCACCCTATCCACATTAGCATGTCTACTGGTGTCATCCTTGTTCAGGTCATGTTTAGGCAGCCGTGTTGGATGAGACATAGCTTCTGATATTGTTAGGAGGCACAGTCTCACAGTGATCTGAACTTCTTGTTCTGACTCTTACAATTTTTGCTTTCCCACTTGTCCAGTGACCCCTGAGCCTTAGGGGCAGGAGTTCTGTACATTTACCTCAACTCTGCATGTTGATTAGGTTTGGTTTTCTTTCTGTACTGGTCTGTCTTGCAAAGAGAAGTTTCCTTGGTAAAGGTGAGAACTGACTTATCTGTGGACAAATATTTAGACTGCATTTAGAGATTACTAAACGGGTAATGGGTTTACTAAAGTGAAGTTTGTAGAATATTGTATGCTATAATATACAATTCTGATTATTCTGTATTCTAGTTCTATTAATATTTTACTGTATCTAAATTTTTTAAGTGCTCTGGATTGAATGTGCTTAAGTTCATCACAACTAAGTGTGTATAGAAAACCATATGCTGTTCAGTACTGTGTGCTTTCAGATACCTACTGTGGCCTTGATAAAGAGAGACATATATTTCCTTTTTTTGTTGTTGGAGGCTCAAGCAAGTATTGATGAATCTTCCTCTTTGAGTCTATGAACTTGCTCAGTGCTATAGATTTCTCTAAGACTGATCTGTTACGTACACATCACGAATTTTTACACATCCTATCATTTTTATTTATTTAAAAATATTTTAAGATTTAACTTCAGTTTTGAACTATGGGTTTTCTAATGGATTTTTCTAGATCTTTCTGTTACTGATTTCTAGTTTGAGTTGGAAAATAATACCCATTTTTATGATTTTAGTTCTGACAAATATATTCAGTTCTGGTTGACCAGAAAAAAATGTGGTGTATGTGCTTGAAAAACTTCTGTAGATGGTGGAGTAGCAACGTAGTACTGTTGGTGTTCAGGCTCCCTGTTGACTTCCGTTCCAGTGTCGGCGGCGGAGGCAGCAGCAGCGGTGGCGGTGGCGGCGGTGACCACTGAGCAGTAGTTGCCCAAGATGTCAAATATCAAAATCTTCAGCGGGAGCTCCCACCAGGACTTATCCCAGAAAATAGCTGACCGCCTAGGCCTGGAGCTAGGCAAGGTGGTGACTAAGAAATTCAGCAACCAGGAGACCTGTGTGGAGATTGGGGAAAGCGTTCGTGGAGAGGATGTCTACATTGTTCAGAGTGGGTGTGGTGAGATAAATGACAATCTAATGGAGCTTTTGATCATGATTAATGCTTGCAAGATTGCTTCAGCCAGCCGGGTGACTGCAGTCATCCCATGCTTCCCTTATGCCCGCCAAGATAAGAAGGATAAGAGCCGGGCTCCCATCTCAGCTAAGCTTGTTGCAAATATGCTGTCTGTAGCAGGTGCAGATCACATTATCACCATGGATCTACATGCGTCTCAAATTCAGGGTTTCTTTGACATCCCAGTGGACAATTTATATGCAGAGCCAGCTGTCCTGAAGTGGATACGGGAGAATATATCTGAGTGGAAAAACTGTACTATCGTTTCACCTGACGCGGGTGGTGCCAAGCGCGTGACCTCCATTGCAGACCGACTGAATGTGGATTTTGCGTTGATTCACAAGGAACGGAAGAAGGCCAACGAAGTGGACCGCATGGTACTGGTAGGGGACGTGAAGGACCGTGTGGCTATACTTGTGGATGACATGGCTGACACCTGTGGTACAATCTGCCATGCTGCTGACAAACTTCTCTCAGCTGGAGCTACCAGGGTTTATGCCATCTTGACGCATGGAATCTTTTCTGGCCCTGCCATTTCTCGAATCAACAATGCCTGCTTTGAAGCAGTAGTAGTTACCAATACCATACCTCAGGAAGACAAGATGAAACACTGCTCCAAAATACAGGTGATTGACATCTCTATGATCCTTGCAGAAGCCATCAGGAGAACCCACAATGGAGAATCTGTCTCCTATCTCTTCAGCCATGTTCCTTTATAATATAATAACTTCTGAAGCATTTGGAAATAAAACCAACCCCACCCCTTGTTTTTCTTGGTATTGGTGAGTTCAGCAGAAGACCAAGCTTGCTTCAGTATAGCTTTTACATCCCACATTACCTATATTAGAATTTATCCTAAATTTGAGAAAAACAGATTGCTGTTAATTGATAGAAAGCTCCACCTGCATTGTTGCATCCTGGCTTCTTGTTTACTTTGTGAGCCTTGAGCTCAGCTGTTGAAAGATGTAGAGAAAGATGTTAAGAGTATTCACAAGGTCCGTAGGATGTGATTGACAAAGCTCATACTCCATTGCATGTGAATGCTTTGGGGTTTTCTTCATTCAGAATAGCAACAAAGGCAGCTCATGTGTAATACATTTTGAGAGGTCTACAGCAAGAACCCTGAGCAGCCTTAAACATAGTTCAGCTGTTGAGCACCCTGTGAGGCAGGAGCACGTAGCTCAATGCAGTAATTAGTTTTTGGGAGGAAGAAGCCTGATCCATTGCCATCTGTTTAACTCTATAGCTTGAACTCTCTACACCTATTCCTTTCCAGTTGGCTTTTCCTTTAGCTATTTTCACCCTTTCCTGGTCTGGACTCAGTGATCACTGTAACAGAATCTTCTGTAAGACAGACTTGCTTCTTGCTATGTAACTGCTAACATTCACATCAGGTAATCTTCCTTAGCCTTCTACCACTGAGGTGGTGGGTTTTAAGTGGTGTCGTAGTGCCTTTTGATTAAGTAGTTAACTTTCATCTTCCTTGGATCCATTTGGCCTCTCAATTGAACATATTTCTGCTAAACAATTTGATTGTATCATCTTGTGAAGAAGAAACTTAATAAAATGTCTGTCATGTGTGCAAAAAAAAAAAAAAGAAAAAGATTCTGTAAGGTTTGTTTGTTTGCTTGTTTTGTCACTGTTAGAATAATATCCAGAATAATATCCAAGAAAAATGAAGATTTTTTTTTTTCTTCATTGTTTTGGGCTCCTCCATTCCTGGGTGGAGATAAAAGCTTGTTTGGGAGAGCAGGATAGTGCCAGCACAGCTGCCAACTTGAAGACAGCAGGGAAGTCTGGAGACAGCAGGAACCCTGCAGAGGCCAACCTGAGTGACTCATTCCTCAGTTCAAGCCCTTCCTCTTAGGAGTCCTCAAGATTCATTCAACTTTAGAGCCTATTATGTGACAACTAAGTCCTTAGTACATTTGCCTTCAGGGAGACATTTTAGATTCAAACACAGTATTCTAAAGCCAAGTGGGCAGTAAAGGTGCTAGCAGTTTTTATTCAGAAGCCATTGCAGTAGGAGAAAAAAAGCAAATGTAGAGTCAGGCTCTATTTCAGATAAATCAAGGACAAGGGATGTTATAGCTTAGAGTAGGGTCAATCACTGGATAAAAATATCCATGTAGAGGGAATTTGTGTTTAAACCCACTGGCAGTCATGAAGGCAAACCAGGGAGTATGAGATTTCAAGATGTGAGAGCCTCAAAACTTGGTTTTTAAGCTACAGCCTTATATTAGGATTGCTTCTGTCTGGGGAGTGGGCTTAGTGCTTTTATATACTGTTTTAGATTTAGTAGTAGTTTTTATTTTACTTTGTCTTGTCTTGATTAGTGCTTACATCCTTTTTTCCTACTCTGTTGGATTATTCTCAGTCATATATCATTAAAAACGGTAATTTGTGGACTGTTCCTCTCTGTGTGTTTTGTTATTATGTAATAGTTGGTGAAGCACACGCATCTAAATACTCATCACATAACTGGAAACTTTGCATTTTACTTTCTTAGAATTTGGATTATTATTTCTTACAGATATCACTTACATCAGAGTTAGAATGGTGTTTTTCATTGTCTCAGTTGTACATATAATCTAAATTTAAGGGTTTTTTATTTTTTTCTGATAAATTTTAAACTGGCATACCTTGAAACTGATTGGTATTTCAAAACTTCTATTGTCTTCAAAATTTAATGTAAATTTAAGTCACTTTCATGATTTATGTCAAAAAGCTTATTTCCAGTATGGAAGCTGCAGATATGTTATAGCTTACAACATTCCAAAGCAGAACATTTTATTCACTGGCATGAGCTGGCACAGTGGGCAGGATTATTGTAATTCATTTGGGTAAATGAATTGAAGCTTTGGATTTAATGTACAAAAATACTCTGTCAGGTTTTACAATTCAGTAATGATAAAATCTGGGTTTAGAGTTTCAGCATCTTAATTTCTATTGTCCTTATTCCACTTTAATTATTAATTTGATCTTTTCAGTTAAAGTCCATATATTTAATGGGCTATGTTTTGTTTGCTTATCATTTAGAATTACAGTCTTATTTAAAACTTTGCCATCATGCTAATTACTAATTACTTGGCTTTGCAAGCTTATAGTCTACATGTGAAATATATCTTAAACAGTGAAGAAATCATTTTCTTCATTGAAGCTTTGAATAGATTTTTCACTTAAAATATATTTGCAATTAAAAAATATTTTAGGAAAGTCAAGAGAATGTATCATATAACTTAGTGACAAAAGTTTTAGGCTACTCTTTAGCATGTATCACGTTTACTGTTAGTGATAGTTTAAAAACTTGGCAAAATATATTTATACTAATGCTTAGAATAGCAAGCTAAGCTATTGCCACCCAGTGGACTATCAGACACTAAAGTGAATGTTTTGAAAAGTGATATAATCTGATAAAAATGAATATTTGTAGAAACTGTGTTTGTGTGTGTGTGTGTAAAATAAAAGTGTAAAGAGTAAATTCTACTAAAATCACTATTTTCCTAGTCCATGCAATAGGAGGTTCCCTCTTTGTTCTCCTTTAGTGTATTCTAGTGAGATAGTGATGTGAAAAAAAAGTGCCTGACATATTTCTGCTAGTTTCCTTTCATCAGGAATTTCTGCAAAGTCACAATAGATCAAGAGATCTATAGCTTAGTGTCTACTCAACAGCAGTGTATTTTCTAGATTAAAAATGGGACATAAGTTAAAACACTAAGTCTAGTCACTTGTTTGCCAATTGCTACGTGTTTATAGTTTGTTATAGTATATATTTTAAAGTGTCCATGTCCCTTTAAGGAAAACTTACTTAATCTTTAAATCTGCTATAATATTGAAGACATCTCACTCCAGTTAAAATGTTTGTAAGGAAATAAGCAGCAGGGTCTGGAGAGATTGCTCAGGGGGGTTAAGAGCACTGACTGCTCTTCCAGAGGTCCTGAGTTCAATTCCTAGCAACCACATGGAGGCTCACAACCATCTGTAATGGGATCTGTTACCCTCTTCTGGTGTGTCTAAAGACAGCGATAGTGTACTCACATACAATAAAAAATAAGTAATAACAAAGTACTGGTAGGAATATGAAATCTAGCCATTACTGAGGAAATCAGTTTAGAAATTCAGAAAAAAATAGAATTGCCATGTGACTCACTGGAATCTAAGTCAGCACATCACAGGTTTATTCAGGTTCTCTGCTGCTATGGAATCAGCCTAGACGTCCATCAACAAATTAATGTGTAAGGAAAATGTGGTATATATACACATTGGAATTTTATGCAGCCAAATCATATGAAGCAACGTGGATGGAACTAGTGAAATAAGCCAGAGTTAAACAAGTAGTTCACATCTTCTGGTATATATAAAACACGTATACATACATGCAAAGATACGTGTGTGTGTGTGTGTGTGTGTGTATGTATGTATCATATTTGTGAGACATTCCTAGAAATGTAAACACATAGCGAACTGATTATAGACCAAGCCAGTGAGTTATTGGGGATATGTCTTAGAGTTTCATTGCTCTGAAGAGACACCATGAACAAGGCAACTCTTACAAAGGAAAATATTTACTTGGGGCTGGCTCACAATTTTCAGAGGTTCAGTCCCTGATCGTCATGGTGGGAAGCATGTCAGCATGCAGGCAGACAGTGAGCTGGAGGATCGCGAGTTCTGTACCCTGTTCCACAGGCAGCAGAAAGGGGACTGTCTTATGCTGGTGGCCAAGAGGATGCTTTCTTGAACACTGGGTGGGAGCCTGAGCATCAACCTGAAAACCCACTCCCACATTGACACACTTCCTCCAACAAGGTCCCACCTATTCCAACAAGGCCACACCTCCTAACATCACTCCCAAGCATTTCAACATAGGAGTCAATGGGTGCCAAACATATTTAGACTATCACAGGTTACTAATAAGAATACGGGTGAGGAGTTACGTACAAAATGAGCTTCCCTGTGGGTTGGCCTTTCACATACTCTGTTGTTACACATTACCTTAGAACATCTTGTTTCATTTCCCTTTAACATATTGTGTCTTAATAAATTTTCCTCTCAGATAGGAAGGTACTTAATTTTTTTTAAATTTATGGGTATAGTGTTTTGGGTTTTGCCTGCATGTATGTATGTGTTCCACATGTATGCTTGGTGCCTGCTGAGACCACGAGGGGGGCCAGATTCCCTGGAACCAGAGTTACAGGTGGTTATGAGCCACTGTGTAACCGTATGTGTGCTAGGATTAGAACCCAGATCCTCTGTAAGAGAGCCTCAAGTGTTCTTAATTCTGAGCTATCACTAACCCAATAATTTAATCTTGGAGGAAACCGCTACCCACAGATACATAAGTAGAAGGATCTGGAAGAAACACATTAGTTATTTCTCTCACTATTTTGAAAAAAAAAATTCCCTAAAAAGATTTTTATTTAATTGTTGTTGTTGTTGTTGGTGGTGGTGGTGGTGTGTGTGTGTATACAGGTCAGTATAGTGCCTGTAGAGGCCAGGATTGTTGGATCACTCAGGAGCTGGAATTACAGGTAATGTGTGTTACCCATTGTGGGTGCTGGGAACTGAACTAAGGTCCTCTGCAAGAAACTGTTGGACTGTTAAGATCCAAAACCAGGGGATGCGCTCCCACAGAAACGTACAAGGACAGGACTCAGTGCACTAGGACTCTCTCCCATGCAGGAGAGAGAGAGAGAGAGAGAGAGAGAGAG